TGGGGGGAAAAGGAGAGTTCGAGCACCACGCCCACACTCGCAAGCCTCCTCTTCACCCCTTCTCTGTTTGAGGAAAATGTCGCCGTCTCTGGCCGTAATGGGCGCCGAACCGCGATGTAACGAAAACAGCAGGAGCGGCGGGAGGAGCAGCACACGGGACGCTTGGTCATGCGCAAGAGGAGGCAGCAGCTGGCGAAAGCAGGAGACGGGCGAGCAGCGGCGGCGAGAGGAGAGGAGCACCCGGAGAAGGAGACGGACGCTTTGCGCGGTTTCCGCCGTGATCGCCGGCTACGCAGCTGCCTCTCTGCCGTGCGGAGCGGGCTTCGTGGCGCCAGGCGTGCAGCAGGCCGGCCGATCAGCTGCTGCTGCGGTACCCTCGTATGTTCGTTCAGCAGCGCCGGGCGGGGGAGAGAGCAGGAGGGCAGGAATGCGGCGAAGACGACCATCGGATGCCGTACGCATGGTGGGTAGAGGTCACGTTTCTTCGAGGACAGTCGTGCGTGGCCGTGCTGGTGTTGCTCAACACATGACAGCATATGCACATGCATGTTGCGCCCGTATCGTCTCCTCTCCTCTCTTGTCGAAACATGCATTTGTTTTTTCATGGATCTTTTTTTGTCTACTGCTGTACAAAGAACATGGAAGGATTCTTTCGTTCAAGGTTCAGATTTCGACCCGCATGCCATCATCTCTTAAGCGGTTGCATTCCTCCTCCCTCCATGTTTGTTTTTCCCCGCCATACGCCACCTATATCCCAAGTCCTGTATCGAAGGTACCTCTTCCTATGAATCCCTCACACGACAACATGTTGTTGGTATTCAACTCTGGCATACATATTTGGGGCAGGTTGCAATGGAGCCTCGCGTTAACTCGAAGGGCCCGGCGACGGAAACGGTGGCGCCGGCAAGGCCTGCTGGCAAGGAGGGGCCGCACCTGCCGTGGACGGGGTCGATGGCGGGCCCGGAGTTCCCCCTGACGTACATGCCGTTCATGGAGCACATGCTGAACGTGCTGGCGCGCTCTTTCGGGGAGATGACGGCGCTGCCTCTAGCCGACAAGCTGGCCTTCGTGGACAACACAGACAAGAAGGCCCGCATGTTGAGGTTAGTCGCCCTTTTTGGCACCTGGTATAAACACTACTTTGAGCGCCCGCCGCGTATCTGTACACGGCATGTAGGATGCGTCGGTAGGTATACATAGCATGGCGTAGGTGCTGTGTTTGCCAAAAGGCAGTCCGTTCATTCCCGTCGCGTCGGGTGCAACAGACATGCATACATATAGCACCAGCTGTGCTCCACAGCAGTAGCATATCGCTCGGCGATCATGAACTCTAGTGTCCCGTAGATTCTACGTGGAATGCCTATGGTACATACATCCCTGGAATAGTTTTGTGCATGTCTGAGGTGGCGACGTATTTTGCCGATTCGGTAACGCGTGGCTCGAACAGATGCTGCTACTATGGGGATCAGTTGAACCGCAAGTGAACGTCATTCGATAGTTGAGAAACGCAACAGCATACGGGTATCAGCTTGAATCACAAGTGATTTGGCTGAGAGGAGTGCAACTGCGGGCGCTGATCTGCGTATGCATAGTAGTACTGCCGCTTCGGACGGGACAGCAGTTGCACCTGCTAACAGTTAATATACACGACGAGTATTTAGAAGGGAAAGAACTTCATACCTGTCCGTGTAGGCCAGATGGTCTTGCACACACGCATGTACGTGCACGTATGCATTTTCGTGTGTTTTGTTTTGTTTTGTTCCTCGAAAGTACACCGCTTGGATTGTACTGAGTGTGGTTGGTGGTTGCTTGCCGGACGGGTAGCACATGCTATACACTGCGAGCAGGTGCGCCTGCTGCCTCTGGCGAAGCGGCAGTAGATGAGCAGCAGCAGTTGCAGTCCTGTCAGTTTAGTTGCGTTTCAACTGATGAACGGCAGCATCTCTTCGTAGCGTTACCGAATCGGCGTTACCTGGCCACCTCAGACCAAACAGAAATTATTCTTTGCATTTGGGGACGGCGTTCTATAATCTACCCGGGACAGAGAGTAGATGAGTGCTGAGCAATTGTAGCATTTTTGTTATCCACGGGATGCAAAGGCCTACCATATTTTTCGACTGGCTCGTGAGGACTCGCCGTGCTATGGTTTGGTTCGATGTTTTCAGCCAGCTGTGTCGCACACTCGCCCGTGTTTGTTTTAGTCTACCGGTGGCAGTAGCGGGTCGAGCCTT